GTGGGAGGATGGTAGAAAACATTTAAAAAGATAAAATAGTAATACAGATCAAATGAGACAAACATATCATAAAAGATTGATTACACATGTAAAGAAGTCCTCATTCATACATGGAGTTCATGTTTTACTTTCCAATTTAATACACAGTTACTAAATTCAACATTCTAAGCATAAGTATGTTACGTTGCAAAATAAAAAGTTGAGATGTGGTATTTTAAATATGTAAGAGACAAATTTTTGGAGGAGAAAAAATAGACTCAGCTCTAACATGAAGTTTTTCATGAGTACCTTGATTTTCAAGAACATTCACTTTATTGGTGAATTTTCATTTGAAAGAAGATTGTGGATTTGCAAAATAACTCCCCAAACAAATCAAAATCAGTTGAAAATTCTTGATTCCTATATGGATTCACTACTAATGGAGATGCTAGGCACAGAAATTGTGATATCAGAGTATAAACATGAAATTGTATTTCTTATCATATTTTGACACATTTAGTTACAGGTCCCAAATTCTATGATTATGAGATTCAGTAGAATGAAGTCATATTACTCTGGTCTAAAGTCAACCACACTGTTATTTTCTTTTCTTGACTGTCATCATGTGGTAGAATGAGGAGTTTTTCTCCTTTACCTTCTCTTAATGATGATTTCTCCTGATTTTTGAATTAATTCCATTGTAGAAATACATTAGAGATAGTTAGAACATGAAAATCCTGTTCAGAACTCTCAGTGATCTAAAATAGTCTCACTTTTGTAACCTTGAAAAAAGGCCTTGCTTAATTATCATTATTTTGTAAAATATATGATTCTGGTATTCTCCTTTTTCTTCAAGGGGGATAAAATAATAGTCCAAGTGGGAGAAATTATCTTTGAATTATATATAACTTCTAATTTGTGCACTGAATTCTTACTCATCACTCTTGATTGCCAAACCTCAGAGCTATGAAAAAATATATTCCTACTAATCATAAGGATGAGAATCTGATATTATTTACCAAGAACATATTCACTCTTTAACAGCTTTTTCCAATTAACATTTTTGAAAAAGTACAATTATTACTAGAGAAATGTAAACACTCATGCTGTTCTTTTCTCATACATTCTTGTCTGTTACTGTAAAATATTTCATTTGCCGTTGATGCAAGCAGAGTAACAATTTTAAGATAAATTCAGAAAAGCCTTTGCAAGATCATCCACTGATTATGAAGTGAAAGCTGTCACAAAGGCTAAAATGACTGCTACCATAATCACTGTCTTCTCTTTTCTTGGTTAGTTTGTTAATTAACCAAAATATCTGCCAATGGCCTTAGAAAAATATTCATCTGCTTTCCGTTAGTTTTAAATAGATTAAAAGTGAGATTTGTCATTAATTAAGTACATAGAATTTATGGGGATTTTAATTGCAAAAACACTTCAAAAGGGAACATGCAAAAGGCTTCTTAGTTCTATTTCATGATAAAGATGGTATTAAACACTGACAAGACAAAAAGAACGCCATTAAGAACATGCCACCACTGGCCCTGTAGTGCAGGAATAATTTGCATGGATTCTAGCTGGGAACATGGAAAGAGTGGGCTGAAAGATCAACAGCTACCTCAGGCAGTTTTTAACTGTTACACGGTTGTCTAGAAATTTTCATTTGTCTTTGGACATATTGCATGAGTTTGAGAACACAGTAATAAAAGTCTGAAAACTTGTCATCAAGATTAACCAACTCAATTAATATCTTTGCCCACATTGTATTCCGCACACATGATTCCAGCTGTCTATCTTGAAGCTGAGTTTGGGATAGAAAGCACAGCCCAGGTCTAAGTGTTCTCTGGATGTTTCACTTTTTATTACTAATTATCCTGATCAGATCTTGGTGCAAAAAGGGGGACATCTTGCATGTATTCCTCTGGCATGATTCTGTTTCAGCCTTGTCATGCTGGGCTTTTCAGGGAACCTCTATCTTTGCAGCCCGGGCTACATGTGACAAGATTAAATTGGCACACTTCCACTATATAGCTTTTGTATTCCTGGCAGCACAAGCCTGGTGGATCCCTCTGAGAGAAGTCTCAGCTGTCACTCAGTGACCCATTAACACTACTCTTCCATCCTGCAGTGTCAGTTTTTCATTCTTATGGTTATAATGCTCCCAGGGGACAGAAGATACCTTCAGGAACGAGAGAAAACAGCAGATACAGGCTAACTATCAAAGACAGAGCACACAACAGAGCCAGAACACAAATTCCAACAGATGAGTTCTAAACACAGTGGAAAAGGTTTGTTATAATGGTAGGTTTTAGAAGGTGCTAAGAGGGTCCAGCTTTAAACAGTCTGGTAACTTTTTTGCAAGCTGTTTTCTTTGCCCTGTTAGAATACCAGAAACATCCAAAATAAGCCTTGCAGTGGAGAAGATAGATGCTTTTACTCTGTAATAAGAGTAATATAGGGGAAGAAAATGGAGTAATAGACAATGGGTACAGACAAAACATAGATCAAGGGGGATTACTTAATTTAAGCATAACAGGATCTCTGGGTAGGTATTCTTATAATCCTGGGCTAACTAAGGCTTCTATCTCAAGACTGAACTAATAATATCAGTGACTTAAACACCATTGCTCTCTAGCAGCTCCATGGTACATTATTCTTCTTCCTTTTTTTTTTAAAAAAAGCATTTGTTTATATTATCTCATGACCACAGTCTCCCCTCCCTCCTTTCCTCCCAGACCCTCCCCTAAACTCCTCTCTGCATCCCCCATCCACTCCTCTTCCATTTCTATTCATAAAAAGACAGGCCTCCCATGGACATCAACAAAACATGGCATATCACGTTGCAGAAACACTAAATACCTCCGCTTGTACTAAGGCTGGGCAAGGAAACCCAGGATAGGAATAGGTTTCCAAAAGCCAGCAAACTAGTAAGAGACAGACCCTGCCCCCACTGTTAGGAGTTCCACAAGAATACCAAGCCACACACTGTCACATATATGCTAAGGGCCTAGGTCCGTCCCATGCAGGCTTCCTGGTTGTAGGTTCAGTCTCTGTGAGCCCCTATAAGGGCAGGTTAATTGTTTCTGTGGGTTTCCTTATGATGTTCCTTGACCCCTCTGGCTTCTACAATCCTCCTTCCCTCTATTCAGCAAGATTCCCTGAGCTCAGCCTAATGTTCGTCTCTGGGTCTCTGCATCTGTTTCTACCAGTTGCTAGGTGAAGCCTCTCTGAGAACTATTGGGCTAATCAACAACCTATGAGTATAGCAGAATACCATTGGGCATCATCACATTCACATTTTGTTATTTCTACAGTCATTTGGTTCTCTCGTAGGCCTCTGGGCCATCCAGCCTCTGGGTCCTGGCCCTGCAGGCAGTGTCAGGGGTGGGCTCACTCTTGTGAGGCTAGATTATGGGCAAGTCCTTAGAAGCTACATTCTATGGTTATTATATGAAGAATTACGGAGTGTTGGCTCTTGAGCTGATGAGATGGCTTATTCGATAAAAGCCTAGTGACCAGACTTAAATCTTCAACCCCAAATCAAGGTGGAAGGAGAGAACTGGCGATACAACTTTGTAAGCCAGGGCACAGTGAAACCTTCCAACTATATCTGGGGCTGGGGGAAGAAAAAGAAAACAATGGAAAATAGAGTTTATGTATGTGTAGGATGGGAGTTTTTGATCTGACACAGGCTAGGCAGTTTGACTAAGAACTAGGTGACTTTGCCAAAGATAGTAGACCACTGCAGAAAGATAAGGATAGTCCTAGTAAATAGAAACCCTGCTTTAGAAAATCTGCTTTTCTGTAAACAGGAAATAACATTTAAGCTTTTGTTTAGCCAGCCAAATTCCTTCTGTTTAGAACTCTGTTCCCCGCCCTGCCATTTTGAGGGGTAATGTTTTGGATATAACAAAGTTGTTCTCTCACCTTCTTTGGAAAACTGTTGGAAACATCTGTTAAGTACAGGAAAAACCATGCACACCTTAGTGACTACAAAAAAGGTAGCCAGAAGATATTTTAAAATTTAAAATTAGGTAGAATTAGGACTCAACACGGTGGCAGAAGTCTGAGGATAAAAGTTTTTCAGGAGTATCAACTTTTAAACATTTTAGGGGCAAAGTTATTTGGGAAAGCTAGTATTTAAATAGTATACACTATATAAAATTTGTGACTTCATTCCTCATGAAAATAGAAATAGTATATGATGGAGTCGGCTTACTAATTATATTTTAGAGCTCATAAACAAGAACAGAGTAATGAGAACAGGAAGAAATGCTTTGATCTATCCCCTAGTACCTTAAAAAAATCACAAAAGAGATACCATTCAAACCCCCTTTCCTCATTAGAAAATAGTAAGACGACTACTGCACCAACTAGTAGACAGCCATGATCAGGTTGTATATGAGTGCTTGCATATTTGTACAGATCTTTTAATAAATACATGAAGATTTTGGCAAGTTTTGAAAACAAAGAAGAATGATGTCATTTTCTTCTCTTTCTCTTTCTCCTGAACTCTCCCTCTTTGCCTCTCTGACTCCCTCTCCCTCTCTCTCCTTCCTTTCCTCCCTTCCTGTTATCCTCCTCTTCCTACCTCCCCCCTCTTTCTCTGTCTCTGTCATCTTCTCTCATTTTGGGATGAGGGGTGGATTTCTAGAGAGGTGTCAAGCTGACTGAGGATAAGACTGAAGCCCGGATCCTACAAGCTTCTGTGTCTGGTGTCTTGACATTACAGGTACATGTGTCCCCAGCTACTGTCCAACTTTGGGGTGCTGAGCCCGAACCCAGAGCCTCTAGTAAGCTTGACTATGTCCTCCCTCTGTCAGGATTTTTACTAAGTTGGACAGGGGAAAGGACACCCAGTCTCTGTGGGGTGACAACGATGATGATGTTCCTTAGGATGAAGGCATCTTCTGAGACTTCGCCTGTCGGTTGGGCCCCGTGGGCGGGGCTCCTAGTGGGCCGATGACGACCGGGCAGGCACCGCAATTGCTTCAGTCTCGCGAGGTTCTTGCATCACAGGAGCCGGCCGCTTGGAAGCCCTGGATCGAGAGCGATCGATCGTTGGGAGCCGCCGCTGGCTGCCGTTGTGCCTGGCGTTCCTCCTCCATGAGGAAAATGCTGGCCTCTTTGGTGTCCCACGTGTTCTCAGGGGTGAACCAGAAGCCGGCGATGAGAGGGCTGCTGGCGTCCCTTAACTTCTCCAACGACACCACCTGTGACATTAAGAAGTGCGACCTGTACCGGCTGGAGGAGGGGCCCCCCACCTCCACGGTGCTCACCAGGGAGGAGGCCCTCAAGTACTACCGCGCCATGCAGGTGATCCGGCGCATGGAGCTCAAGGCTGACCAGATGTACAAGCAGAAGTTCATTCGCGGCTTCTGTCACCTGTGCGACGGGCAGGAGGCCTGCTCCGTGGGGCTGGAGGCGGGCATAAGTCCTTCGGACCACATCATCACGTCCTACCGGGCTCACGGCCTGTGCTACACGCGGGGCCTGCCGGTCAGATCCATTCTGGCAGAGCTGACGGGGCGCCGGGGAGGCTGTGCCAAAGGCAAGGGGGGCTCCATGCACATGTACGCCAAGAACTTTTACGGGGGCAACGGCATCGTTGGGGCGCAGGTGCCCCTGGGAGCTGGTGTGGCTTTCGCCTGTAAATACTTGGGAAATAATGAGATCTGCTTGACCGTGTACGGCGATGGCGCGGCCAACCAGGGGCAGGTAGCTGAGGCTTACAACCTGTCAGCCTTGTGGAAGTTACCCTGTGTCTTCATCTGTGAGAATAACCACTACGCAATGGGCACGGCTATCGAGAGAGCAGCAGCCAACACTGACTACCACAAGAGAGGCAATTTTATCCCCGGACTGAGGGTGAACGGAATGGATATTCTCTGTGTCCGCGAGGCCACCAAGTTTGCCGCTCACTACTGCAGATCTGGCAAAGGGCCCATTTTGATGGAGCTGCAGACCTACCGGTATCATGGACACAGTATGAGCGATCCAGGCATCAGTTACCGTACCCGAGAAGAGGTCCAAAGCATGCGGAGCAAGAGCGATCCTATTATGCTGCTCCAAGAGAGAATGATAAACAGCAACCTGAGCAATGTGGAGGAATTGAAGGAAATCGACGCGGATGTGAAGAAAGAAATTGAGGAAGCCGCCCAATTTGCCACAACTGATCCAGAACCAGCTTTGGAAGAATTAGCCTATCACCTCTACTACCACAATCCGCCCTTTCAAGTTCGTGGTACAAACAAGTGGATAAAATATAAGTCCATCAGTTAGACAGATTACTTGAGGATTCGTTACAAATTCCTCAGTGGGTTATTTATGCTCAACTTTAGGACACTTTTCAAGTTTGTTAAAGAGTAATAAATAAAACACCATTAAAGACAAAAGTCTTGTAAGCCTTCATAAAAATAGATTAATGGCTTATTAAGGAGATTAGAAGATACACATTTGTTTAAAAGGGCTGTTCTGTTTTATGTTGTAACATTAAAAGGCACTGTATCTGTAACAGTATGAATATATTTTAGAATATTTTAAACTTAAGTTCTGAAGTTATAAATCTAAAATAGGAAATGCTAGCTTTCCCAATTTGTCACAATAGTTCTGTTTGATTTCATTTTAGTCATGAAATAAATACTGTTCTTTAAAGAAGTAGACTTTTGATTCTGGCTTCCTATGCCATGAGTTTGTGAAAAGTCACATTGAAGAAGAGTTCAAGTCACTTTGCAACAGCTGATATAAATAAACCAATAAGAGGCACTGGTATCATAGAAGGTATGCATATATGATATTGGTGCTGAAGTGTGTTAATACTGATTTTCCAGAAGAAAAAAAACTTACTAGGGCAGGGGCAGGCAAGAAAAGAAGAATAATTTTTTGTTTTTATACTATTTTATTTACAATATTTGTAGTTTACTAACTAGGAAAAATATAGAAAATCTAGGAGAAACTTATTGAATTAATCCTCATTCTAATGCCATACTTGCTTTATATTCATACTACATGTTATTTTTTTCACCACCAACAACAAACACTATCACCTCTCAAACCTGAGAAATTAAAGTCAAAGATATGACATCAATGTACTTAATTCAACTCTACTTTCCATTTGAAGATCTCCATAAAGTACATACTGCAAATTGCTATGCTGCTGACTAATATCTTCTAAGTCATCTATAGTATATACAGATTTATATTTACTGAGGGAAAACATGACAAGTCATAAAGGCTCAGTTATTTATAGTTCAGTACCTTATCAGTATGTCTAAAATTGTTGAAAACACTAGTACTTGGTTACATCTAACAAGCCCTTAGGTCCCCTTGAACTTGATGTTTAGTATATGCAACTCTTCTGGGACAGATTTAATTGAAACCCAAAATGAGAATTTTCCTAATGAATGTAGAACCAGTTTCTGAAGCACACCAAAGCCTTTGGCTCTATAGCATGTGCTCTTACAAATAGAAATACTGGTTTCTTTTCTATTACTGTGATTAAATACTCTTGACAAAAGCAACTTAAAGGGGAAGGGACCATCTTAGCTCACAGTTCCAGTAACAGTACTGTAAGCATTGGGGCAGATCAGGTGGGACAGGTATTCTGGCACTCGGGAGTAACAGACTACCTAGTGTTACACAGCTCAGGGGGGAAGGTATCCTGGAGCTCGGGAGCCAAGGACTACCACAGGCCTGCTTCAGTGAAAAGATTCACCAGTGTATCAGCTCTGCTCAGGCAAGGGAGGGGTTCTCATCTGGGGATGTTTTCCCAGTGTAGCAGTTTTGCTGTAGCAGGAGAGGACCTGCAGCCAGCTAAATTGCTACAGTTCAGCTCTACTCTCTGGAGAGTGGAGAGCAGAGTGTATTCACTCTGGGTGGGGGGAAGAGGAGGGAGAAGGTTTCTCAGGCAGAAGCATTACAGCCTTGCTCTGCTCTGCCCAGAATACTCTCTGTTCTGCTGCAAAGAAAGTCTTCACTGGAAGCTCATCAAAGGGGTTTATTGGGAGGAAAGAATCCAGGAGAGTGGCAGAGAACAACCGAAGCTGAACACACAGGGTTTATATATGGATCCTCAAGGGTGGGGGAGTGTTTCCAGGATGGGGATTGGTCAGATTTCAATCTTCTCCTCAGGCATTGGCTAGTTTTCTGCACAGGGTTAGGGTCAGATTTGGCTCCAATTGGGACAGTCCTACCTCAAGGGTTTCGGGACAACCCCCATTTATTCAGCCAGGCCCTAGCCTCTGACTTATTCTCTTTGTCTCTCCCAAAATCCAAGTTGATACAATATGTAGATGATCTTCTCCTTTGTAGTCCATCCCTAAAAATAAGCCAGGCAGACACCGCTACTTTGTTAAATTTTCTATGTAGCCGAGGATATATCCCACTTCTGACACCAGATATAACGATACTCGATACTATATAGGGAAAACAATATATTTATTTACCAGAGTGAGAGAGAGTCGCACAAGCTGGGAGTCAGAAGGGTGGCTGGCTTCCAGCAGAAAAAAAGGGAAGGTCCTTTTCCTTTCACTTCCTTTTATCTCTACCTTGACCCCGCCCTGTTGGGCGGGTAGCTTTGTGGCATTGACTCCTACAGGGTATCACCCTCTAAGGTCCAGCTGTCCACTCCTCAGGTAACTTATCTAGGACTAACTGTTACTCCAACTCATAAGGCCATTGCCCTAGATAGGAAAAAACTAATACTGTCACTCACAGTCCACACCACAAAGGATGAAATCTTATCCTTCCTAGGAATGGCCAGCTTCTTACGCTCTTGGATTCCTTCCTTCTCCCTTCTTTCTCGCCCTCTATATCAGGCAGCCCTTGGCCCATCACATGAGCCTCTCCTTGCACATTTCGTCAGCTTCAACAGGCCCTCCTACAGGCTCCAGCCTTACACCTTCCAGACTTAACGCGTCCCTTCTCTTTCTATGTTACTGAGAAAGAGGGATATGCCCTCGGGGTGCTGGTCACCACCTGGGACCTTCCTTTGCACCAGTCGCATACCTATCAAAAAATTAGAGCACACTACTGAAGGTTGGGCACCTTGTCTGCGGGCTCTGGCTGCAGCTGAACTTCTCATACAAGAGTCAAAGAATGTAACCTTTGGGTCTCCTATTACTGTCCCCTCTCCTCACCACCTGTCCCAACTTCTAACATACAAAGGTCTCCAAAAGTTACCCACCTCTAGAGTTCTCTCCCTTTAGGTAGCATTAGTAGAGGATACAACCTTACCTTTCAGCCATGCCCACTTCTTAATATTTCAAATCTTCTCCCCCAACCAGTCTCAAAATACTCCCCATCTTACTCTTGCATTGAGACCCCATAAGAGTTACTACCTCATCCTACACATGTACATGAGGGAGCTCTACCACAGGCCACCTATACATGGTATACGGATGGCAGCTCCTTCCTACATTAAGGGGTACAGAAAGCAAGATATGCTGTTGTCTCAGACATCAAAGTGGTTCACGCACAGGCCCTTCCAGCTCAAACCACAAACCAACAGGCTGAATTAGTGGCTCTTACTCATGCCTTTCAACTAGCAAAAGGACAGTCCATAAACATATATACAGACTCTAAGTATACCTTTGACATTCTCTTAGCACATGCAACTATCTGGAAGGAATGTGGGCTACTAACAACAAAATTAGGTTCTATAAGCAAAACAAATTATAGACTTGCTAGAGGCTTCTCACCTTCCCACAGCCATAGGAATTGTCCACTGCCACTCACACCAACAAACAATTCCTAAGTCCCCCTCACAAGCCTCAGGTCACTCTCATTTTACAACCCACAACTTCATCACTACCTCCCAATATTCAACAGATCTTGTCTTATCTACACCAGATCTTTCACCCTAATACTCAGGCTCTTTCTTATTTTGTTAAAACTTATTTACAGCCTACCTCTGAAGACCTGTCCTATCTAAAGTCTATCACTGCTTCTGGTAAGATCTGTCAAACCTCTAACCCTACCTCTGGTCATCGAAATCTCCCCTTCCCCACTCATTAAGCCAGGGGATCCCTCCATGGATCAGACCGGCAGCTTGACTTCACCCACATGCCCACAGTAAGATGTTTCAGATGTCTTTTACTCCTAGTGGCCACATTCTCAGGATGAGTAGAAGCCTTCCCCATCACTAATAAAAGATCACAGACAGTTTCTGATCTCCTTTTCAGGGAGATCATCTCCAGTTTTGGGGTTCCATCCTCCATTCAATCATATAATGCCCATGAATTTACTTCTCAAATCTCACAGACATTGGCAAAGGCCCTTAACATCCCATGGCATTTCCATATGCCCTACCATCGCCAGTATTCAGGCAAAGTTGAATAATTGTTCTCTCAAAAATATTCTTATAAAACTCTCCCAACAGCTACATACAAATTGGATCAAACTCCTGCCATTAGCCCTCTTTCAACTAAGAGCCCTTCCAAAGAAACGCCTCCTTATTTCCCCTTTTGAGCTCATGTATGGATGGCCAATTATGCCACCTGGCCTTATGTCTCATCCATCACCTCTCCCAGATCACCTCCTTACCCCTCTGTTACACTACCTTCGCACTCTTCTTTGGAACTTCACCCACCATCACCTACCTCAGCCCCATCCTAATCCCTGTCCCTCTCCAGTCAATTTAGGAGACTTAGTTCTACTCTCCCCTCCAGGTCACAACCTCCCTCATCTTTCTCCAAAATGGACAGAAACTTTCAGTGTCATCCTTACTACCCCACCTGCTGTTAAGCTCGAGGAATTCCCTCATGGATTCATTTTTCTCATCTCAAACCTTTTATATCAGCCCAAGATAATCCTTCTTACATTTCAACCCCAACAGGACGTTGTTCTCTTAAGTTTCAGACGATACCAAGGTTGACCAGCCTGCCTCTGGTCTCAGAAGAATGAGACATTACACATCTTCCAAGACCCAAGGACCCTATTAGGCCATGCCTTTTCGTCTACTCCTTTTGCTCACCCCCATCAGTAGCGAGCCCTATATATGGAGATTTAAGGTTCAAGAAACCTATACCCAGCAGTCCAAATGGACCACTCATATGGTAGGATCTAGAGATTGCCCACTAGCTGGTTGCAAAAGGAGATACTTAGCCCTTTAACACCTAAATCCATTTCTAAAATATCTGTCCCTTATGCCTGTTTTCTCTATGACCAGACAAGAAATTATTGTCAATGCTGGCCAAAAATTTATGAAGGTTGTCCTTTCTGGTCCTGTAAGAGACACAATACATACTCAGGAACACACTCTACCTTTTAGGCAGAATGGGGATTTTTTTTTATATTCTAATTAAGGACCCAGAGCAACCCAGATGGGAGACAGAGGTCATTGGTAAACTTTATTATAACAATTATTAAAGCTTCCCATCAGGCACACTCAAAATAC